GATAACCACTCCAAAGGTGATAATTACCACTATAACAGATGAAACCTCAAAATCAAAGAAGCAGGCAGCTGAGCTTTACAAGGCTTGCTGTCTTGAGTGGCTGGTCTCCTTTGGGGAATTAAGTCTATTGTTCTCTGTCATCCACAAGATTCTCCTCAGTTGTGGCCCAGGTAATAGGTAGGGCGAGGTGGTCCTTACTGGTGTGGACGTTAACCTTAGGCTGTGGGGTGATAATAGGAGCCTAAGTCGCCTCACCTGTAAGTAGACAGAAATCATGCATTCCGAAAATCGAGTAAGTGCTCCAAAAATTAGCTCAACACTTAAGCCAAAACAAATCATTTTAGGTAGTTACATGATTTAAAAAAAAAAAGCCACTATCATCCAGTCGATTCTGACTCATAGCTACCCTCATTGGGTTCCCAAGGCTGTAAATCTTTGTGGAAGTAGATTGCCTCATCTTCCTCCCTCGGAGCAGCTGGTGGGTTTGAACCAATGACCTTCTGGTTAACATCCAAATGCTTTACCCACTACACCACCAGAGCTCCTAATTACATGATAGGGAGATCATATTGTCTGCTTCCTATAACTACACACTTACACACATGTTATTGTTGTCACAGTCATTGAGTCAGTTCCAACTCATAGGACCTCAAACCAACAGAAGAAAACACTGCCTGGTCCTGCGCCATCCTCACAATCATAGCTATGCTGGAGTCCATCATGCAGCCACTGTGTTAATTCATCTCACTGAGGGTCTTCCTCTTTTTGCACCAACCCTCTACTTGACCAAGTATGATGTCCTTCTCCATACTGGTCCTTCCTTATAACATGTCCAAGGTACATGAGTGAAGTCTTGCCATCCTCACTTCTAACGAACATTGTGGCTGTCCTTCTTCCAAGACAGATTTGTTCCTTCTTCTGGTAGTCCATGGTATATTCAATATTCTTCATCATAATTCAAAAGCATCAATTCTTCGTAGGTCTTCCTTGTTCATTCTCCAGCTTTTGCATGCATATGAGATGATTGAAAGCACCATCTTTGGCTTTTTTTTTTTTTTTAACACTTTAAAGAGGTTGTTTGCAGAAGACAATGATAATGAAAGTGTATGCATTGTTGTTGCTGCTGCTGTTGCCATCACCCTCACTTCTAAGGAGCACTCTGGCTGTCTTTCTTCCAGGACAGATCCACATACACACACATCAATGACATGAAAGCAAGGACCTCTTCTATCTTCTTCACTCCTGTTTCCTTCACACCTAGAGGAACTCGTGAGACATCATGAGAAGTGTGTAAATAGTTATTGAGTCAATAAATAGGTTTCAGAAGACAGAGCATGTTGTCAAGCAGTAATGGGCACCACTGAAGAAAAATCTCTGCACAGGCATTGAGTTTGGACAGTTGGCGCTTGTAAATAAACTAAGGTGAGCACTCTGAACAGGGAGGCAATAGATGCTTCTATTTCTGTTTGAGTAGAAAAGTCACCCAGCAATGTGTGCAATCCCTCTGCTGCTGCCCTCCCCACAGCGGGATGGGAACAGGTGTCTGGTTCTAGGGAGGCAAAGCCCAGCACCTGCTCAAACACAGGGGCCATGGGAAGGCCAGGGTTCCCAGTTGGAACTATGTTACCCGTGCAGACCAAGCACTCCACTCAAGAACCTTTCCAGACCCCCTGGCTAAGTTGGCTGAGAGAAGGGACACAACTGGCTGCTTTCCAAACCGTGGACTGGTGGGCAAGCCCAGTGTGGAAGGGAGCCCAGTCAGCTGATGGGACTGACCATCAGATTTGGCTTGCAAGACTCAGAGGTGGGTCTAGATGATTTAGAAAAATAAATACTGTCACTTCCTAAACCCTGAGTATCATGGACCAGCCCTAGGTGTTCAGCAACAACTGCCCAGGTTGGGCTCCCTGCTGGGGTCCATGCCGGCTTCCCCTGCTCACTGTCCAGGAGGCTCTGTGGTCATTCACACAACTGGAAAGCAGGCCCAGGGATGGGAGAAGGCGTGGGTGAAAGGTACATGTAAAGATGGTCGCCACTGCATGACAAGAACCAATCTGTCCTTGGGTAAAGTGGAAACCTCAGTTGCTACACACTTCTTCCCTCCCAACTGAAGGAAGCAGAGTAGATACAATGTGCAAATGGCACACCCCCGTGCCTAACACTGGCAAGCTTCCTTGGCTTCAAGAGTCACCACCAGTGCACACTGTTGTCTACTGAGCCTAGAGTAAGAGTCAGCCAATGTCCTTAAAGCAGCAGTCCCCAGGAAGGCCACATGACAAGGGGAAAGGCCAACACAGCCCTGTTACTGAGGCCCCATGGTTTGGCCACCATGGACCTGGCCAGCTCCATGTGTGCCCCAGCATGGTATTACTACACCTCTGACAGGTGACTCTAATAGGCCCAGGTGTGAGCGAGTGTGGGTGAAAGGTCAATCCACCCTCCCCTCCTGCCAGGACAGACCAGGGTGTGCTGTTTCCTCCAGACCACTGGCTTGATTCCCAGCAAACCTCCCAGATGCCACCTGTAGCAATTCCCAGACTGGACACGTTCTTCGTCTCCCCGGGACATGAAGCCAGCTCCACTATCGTGAGTCCTTTGGGGCAAGACAGAGCTTTCTGGATCTCAGTCTCCTCTGCAAACAGGTCGTTCCATCTTGCACACTGACAAAGTATTTGTGCCAAGTTAACTCTGAAACTCAATACAAAAGCAACTCAGGGGACCACTGTTGTGTGTGTGAATGTGCTTTAAAAGCTGGCAGGCCCCAGTGCTCCCGTGTGATCCCACTGGGGGTCCAGGGGTACCCAGTGAGGAGGCTGAGGAGAGAGGCTCTGACAAGGGGCCTCTTGTCATGGAGAAGCTGGCTGGGAAGATACACCAGGAGCTGAACCAGAGGACACCCCAGGTGTCCCTCCCACCACATGACCTCCGGCCCCTCTGCTTCCCTCCACTCACCCCGCGGCCCACAGGCTGCCTTCCTCCCGCCCCCAGGCTTCTGAGCTTACTCTGTGTTCACCACCTGCAGCAAGTGAACCCCTTCTCTTCCTTTCAGAATTCATATGAGACTCTTTCCCACTTCTGTTCTCAGGACCCCGAGTTTGGAGGAGCTGGGAAGGAAGGCTCCTCAAAAGAGTGGGCCCACCAGGACAGACTTCCCTCTGCACACCTGTCTGGCCAGCTCTGGCCTCAGCAAGCTATCGGCTGTGTCCTGGTGGCGCCGACAGGCTCCAAATTGGGAGTCTTTCTGGGAATACTAGAGATTTGCACTCTATAGTGAGCCCTGAATCACAGCCATCCCTCACCTTCTAAAATAGAAAATTCCAGAATTCCCCTCCAATCTTTGTTAATGACCCTTGGCCCTCCGCCATGTGTTAATCTCTCTACCTACTGATTCTCTGATCAGAACCCAAATTTGCCATTGTCCAAATCCTTCCTGTGGTAGTTCAGTTTGTGTGTCAACTTGGCTGGGCCTTGTTGAGTGGCTGGGCAGCTGGATGTAGTATTCTCCATGATGAGACTGGTAATCAACTCCATAGTGGAATCTACTGCAAGCAGCTGAGTAGCTGCCTTAGGGAATGTGGTCTGCTTCCTGTATCTAAGCAGAAGCCTTGGGGAATGGTCTCTAGCTATGGCGTCTTGAACCCTGCATATAGCCATGTCATTGTTCAGCAGCCTGCCATGCTCTGCTGACCTGAGGACTTTCAATGGACTTAAATTAATGGCCTGCCATGTGGTTTGGTAACATCAGGACTGTGCCTTTTTACTTGTCAACCTTGGGCTTGGCAGACTCAGCAGCCAGCAGCTGTCTGAGTGAATAAAAGCCTCTAGCTTCAGTGGGCCAGCAGCTGGAGGCAGAGCAGAAGCCCAAGGCTAAGGGGCTTTCACCCAGCCCCAGAGCTTGGCACTTTGAACTTGGACTTAAAGCCTCCAAATTGTAAGAATCAACTCCTGTTTATTAAGGCCACCCCTTTTGTGGTATATTCTTGTCAGAGGAGCACTAGGGAACCAGAACACTTCCTAATGTCACATCTGAAGTTGATACTTCCCACCTGGGCCAGGAGGGCTGTGGCCCCCAGACTGTGGCTCTACATTGAGAACAAGGAGGGTGTGGGAGCATTGGTCTTCCTTCCACGATGTGTCAGGCTGTTTCCTAGTTAGCCCTAGCTCCTCCCTCCTTCCCAACAGACCCCCACCCCACCTTCCAGTCTGTTGAGAGTCTGGCACCTCCCTCCCAGTACATCTCCCTGTGGGCTGCCTGAAGCCTTCCTGCCCAGTGGTGCAAACCAGGAGAAGACCACCATGCTCATGGGTGAAAGGCAGAATGAGACTGGCGGTGTCCTCTTATGGGACCAGGACACTGAGCAGCCCAGGTGGTAGCCATGCCACCACCCCTAAAGCAAGTCAGATAGCTCCCCAGGTCAGAGGGCACATAAGAGAGCAGGTCATCCACCCACCCTCCAAACTCTCACATCCTTAGGAAGCTCCTCTGTGGGCTGGGGGGCTGGCCTCTCTGTCCCCATCCCAGAGTTTGCCCAGGACCAGCTGTCTCACTTTCACCCTGAGGGAAAGCTTCCCCATCACCTGGACATCTGCAGTACTGATGCAACACCCTGGGAAGAGGAAAGCTGGAGGTGTTTGTTCTAGGGGAGTGTGGCCCCTCCCTCCCTCCCTTGCGCACTCACCTGGGGAGATATAAGACGGGCTCTCCACCATCTGCAATCACACATCTGCCACCATGAATCCGCTCTTCATCCTTGCCCTGGTGGGCGCTGCCGGTGAGTCTATGGATGGCCTTGGCCCTGCCACCCCCTTCTGGCAGACCTGGGCCCATCTCATCTGCTTCACTCCTGACTCTATCCCCTGCCCACAACCTCCTCCCCACCAATGTATCCTCCTTGAACTCTCTTAAAGGCTCACTTCTCTCATTTTCTACCTGACTCCATGTCCCCTACCAGCAACCATCTACATCAAGGTTTAGGTGGAGGAGGCTGGAAGGAAGGCAGGTAGAAGTGGCCCTGGAATGGAAACAGATGGAGGTAGCCCTGGAAGTGATCCAGGTAGAGGTGGCCCTGGAAGTGATCCAGGTAGAGGAGATTGGAAGGGAGGCAGGTGGATGCAGCTCTGGAAGTAATCCAGGTGGAGATGGTCCTGGAATGGTCTGTCCAGGTGGAGGTGGTCCTGGAAGTGATCCAGGTGGAGGTAGCCCTGGAAGTAATCCAGTCCACATAAGGCTCACTCTGACAGTTTGAGGGCAGCCCACTGTGGCTGTTCTTCATCGTGGCGGCACAATGGAGTCACCTAGGGAGGTGGAGCAATGCTGACCCACGGACCCAGCCTAGAAACCCTGCCTTAATTGGCTCGGAGAGCAACCTGGGCATGGATTTTTAAACTTCTCAGATGACTTGAAGTCTCCCTGGTTGGGAACCACTGTTCCTTGACTACTAACAGTTCCCACCTCTGTCCTGCCCAGAGCTAGGGGCTGGTGTCCACCCTGCCCAACTCCCAGAATTAAGCTGTAGGAGAAGCTGAGACAGCCCACCACCACTATCACCACCACCACCACAACCACCACCAGGAAACTTTCCCAGCAAGGCCAAACCATCCCGACCTGGAGCCCAAGTGGCCAAGTGGCTGTGTAGGGCCAAGCGGTGAAAATAAGAGAGTGGGACTGTGTGGGCCAGAAACCACATTCTGAGTAGTGTTCCCTGAGTCTCTTTGGGGGCAGATCTTGGGTCTTCATGTTGGTGCCCCCAAAGAGGCCAGGCCTAGGCCTCTGCAGACCACAGGGCTACCTGCTGGGATGTTCCCTCCTGCCTTTCTGTGTGCTTCTCACCAGCCCCGATTACCATGCTCAGCCACAGGCCCAGGCTCACCTCCCAGGGCCTACTGACCCCTCCCTTTCTTCTCTCCACCCCAGTTGCTTTCCCTACTAACGACGATGACGACAAGATTGTCGGGGGCTACACCTGCGAGGAGAAGTCCGTGCCCTACCAGGTGTCCCTGAACTCGGGCTACCACTTCTGTGGGGGCTCCCTCATCAATGATGAGTGGGTGGTGTCTGCTGCCCACTGCTACAAGTCGTAAGTGCCTGCAGCCGGGGATCCCCAGAGCTTGGGTTTAGTGGGTGCCGAAGAAGGATGGAAAAGATGGTGGGGAGGCATGATGCTGCCGGTCAGTAAACCTGCAGAAATCAAGGGAACAGAGAGGCTCAAAGCCAGGACAAAGGCCAGCCAGGGCCCTGGCCTCAGGGAGGGCTATTTCTGAATGGGGTGAGGGCAGGTGAGGATGCCTCCCAAGTAAACCTGGCTGGTGGCTGCACATAGACCACCTAAGAAATGTTTAAAAGCTCCCGGTGCCTGGTTCCATCCCAGAGCAGCTACCTCAAAATGTCCTGGAAGCAGGACCTGGCTGCGGGTGAGTTTCACCCTCTCTCCCTCAACTGATCCCACTGTGTCGCCAGAGCTGAGCAGCCCAGACGGGAGCTCAGACTTGGCTCCATCAGAGTCACCTGGGGGCTGTGGTAAGATGCTCATACCCCATTCCCAACTAAGGCTGGGGGGGGCTGGAACATCTGCATTCCCAAGTGACAGTGATGCTGCAGAAGTCCTGGGGGTGTAATGGTTAAGTTCTGGACTGCTAGCCAAGAGCCTGGTGGTTTGAACCCACCCAGAAGACCTCAAAAAACAGGTTTCTGCTTCCAAAAGGTAACAGTCATGAAACCCTATGGAGTCAGGATTGATTCCACAGCAACTAACTTTTTGAGACCCTCTGGGTCAGGTCTTACAGGATGACACATCGCATGGATTCGTGCGATTAGCAGGGCCTCAAGGATAGAACGGGCTTGGGGGTGCCCTCTCATGTCCACAGCCCAGAGACACATGGAGGTGGGACAGGTGGCTGCTGGAGAAGAAACAGGTGAAGGCCAAGTCCTACTTGGATACCTTCACCTCGGCCCACCTCTGCCACCACCTCCATCCACCACCCCGTACCCTGAACAGACAGGCTTGCCTGACTCCAGTGCTGGGGAGGGGTCTTCACTGTGACCCCTTGCCTGACAGCCGCATCCAGGTGAGGCTGGGTGAGCACAACATCGAAAAGCTGGAGGGGGTTGAGCAGTTCATCAACTCGGCCAAGGTCATCCGCCACCCCAACTACAGCAGCTGGACCCTGGACAACGATATCATGCTGATCAAGCTGGAGTCAAAGGCCGTCCTCAACACCCGGGTGTCCACCGTGGCGCTGCCCTCGGCCTGTGCGCCTGCAGGCACCGTGTGCCTCATCTCTGGCTGGGGCAACACCCTCAGCTCGGGCGGTGAGTGGGACCTTGCCCTCAGTGCAAGAGGGTCCTGGATGAGGTCTTCTTCTCCCTCAGCCTACAGACAGTTGCCCACCAACAGAGGCTTTGTGATAGGTCCTGGCACCGCCATCTCACACGGCACCCACTCTGGTCACTGGTGGGGCGGGTGTCTGCAAGGACCATCTGGGAGATGCATGCAGGTCACTTACCCTCACTGGGCTGCACTGGGGGGTCCCCGTGGCTGCCGCTGTGCTCAGCCCTGATGCCCTCATCACCTCACCTGCACAGTGAATTACCCCGACCTGCTGCAGTGCCTGGATGCCCCCCTGCTGAGCCAGGCTGAGTGCGAGGCCTCCTACCCTGGAGAGATTACCAAGAACATGGTCTGCGCTGGCTTCCTGGAAGGCGGCAAGGACTCCTGCCAGGTGAGACCCAGTAGCCAAGCCCCCAGCCTGCACAGACACCAAGCAAGGGTACTGTCCCATCCCTGTGTACAATCAGACTGGGTGCTGCCCCCTTGTGTAGAGTCACACCATTTATGTACAGTCGGACTGGAGTCCTGACAGCTTCCTCTGTGTTCAACCAGACCATGGTGATGCCCCCTCTGTGTACAGTCAGACCAAGATGTGGACCCTCTCACTCTGTGTGCTACTAGACTAGGAGTCCTGCCCCACTCCCTGTCTACAACCAAGCAGGGCTCTGTTCCCCTCCCTCATGTACACTTGGCCTTCTCCTCCAGGGTGACTCTGGCGGCCCCGTGGTCTGCAATGGGGAGCTACAGGGCATTGTGTCCTGGGGCTATGGCTGCGCCCAGAAGAACAGGCCCGGTGTCTACACCAAGGTCTGTAACTACGTGAACTGGATCCAGAACACCATTGCTGCCAACTGAGGCCTCCGCCCTGTCACCACCAGAACAATAAAGTAACCATACTTCATGCCTGTTTCTGTGTCTGCTTCCTGCCACTTACTCCGGAAACCATCCTACACTGGGGCCAGGCGTGCTCCCCTCCCAGACCTCCACCCCTGGTCCCCGTGTGTGTGGGGTACTGGCCCAGCAGCATGTTAGGAGCTGGGGCTGGGTGGGTGGGACAGTTTCCAGAGAAGATGAGTGTGGCCTGACGGCAGCCTCTCCAGTCTCATCTGACCACAGGGACCCGCTGGCACCCCAGCAAACACACTGGGGGACACAATGAACCACCTTGGCCTCTCCCTGTCCCCAGTCCACACCTGCTCCAACCATCCCACAGCCCCTCCCAGCAGACATCTTACCTGTTGAGGGATCAAAAGAGCCAAGGCTCTTCAGGTGTAGCTTGTTGTGTGCTGAGCACCGTTCTAAGCCCCTGACTTTAACAAACACATCTGCTTCCCATAACCCTGTTTGTTAGGGCACTTGTTGTTGTTGTTGGTATGTGCCCTCAAGTCGGACCCGACTCATAGTGAACCCCTCCTTGGGTTTCCGAGGCAGCATCACTACGGAAATAGATTGCCCCATCTTCCTTCTGAGGAGTGGCTGGTGGGTTTGAACCGCCAGCCTTCTGGTTAGGAGTCAAATACCTTAGGCACTACTCCACCAGAGCACTATGGGACTCTAAATGGAGCTGTGCTGGTGTAGTGGGTAAGGCATTTCACTGCTAACCAGAAGGTCAGCAGTTCAAACCCACCAGCCACTTTGTGGAAGGAAGATGGGGCGATACACTTCCACAAAGATTTACTGCCTCGGAAACCCAATGGGGGTCATTGACCCAGAATTGACTTGATGGCAGTGAGTTTGGTTTGTGGGACTCTATAAAGGAGCTCTGGGGGTGCAGTGGTTAAGGCATCTGGCTGCTAACCCAAAGGTCAGTGGTTCAAACCTACCAGCTGCTCCGCAGTAGAAAGCTTCACAATCTGCTTCCATAAAGATTTACAGCCTTGGAAACCCAATGGGGGTCACTACGAGTTGAAATCAACTACTAAGCAGTGACTTTGCTTATTGGTTTGGTGGGAATCTAAGGAGCTCTGGTAGTGCTGCGGTTAAAGCATTGTGCTGCTAACCAAAAAGTCAGTGGTTTGAGCCCACCAGCTGCTCCGTGGGAGAACGATGTGGCAGTCTGCTTCCCTGGAGACTGACACCCTAGGAAACTCTGTGGGCAGTTCCACTCTGTCCTCTAGGGGCGCTGTGGGTCAGAATGGACTCCACGGCAGTGGGTGTGGTTTGGGCTTTGCTTCCATGAAGACTGACAGCCTTGGAGACCCTGTGGGCAGTTCCACTCTGTCCTCTAGGGGCGCTGTGAGTCAGAATCATCTCTGTGGCAGTGGGTGTGGGATTCTATATGATAGCAATGGGACGTTATCACCCTGTCCCCCGTCTGTCAGTCAGTCGGACTGTGGTGGCTTGCATGTTGCTGCAAAGCTGGAGGCCAGGCCACCATGTTTCACATACCAGCAGGGTCCCTCGCAGAGAACAGGTTTCAGCAAAGCTTCTAGATTAAGACTAGGAAGGAAGGCCTGGCCACCTACGTCTTGAATCAGCCAGTGAAAGCCCCCTGAGTCATAATGGCCTGACCCCATTGTGCATGGGGCTCCGTGAGCCAGGGACCGACTCTCCAGAGTCCAGTGTGACAGGTACTGTGACAGCCTCCACATGTGCCATCTCAGGTAGTCCCTCCAGCAACCCCATAGCGTGATTGTCCTCCGGTCATAGATCAGCAGACTGGGGCTGCCCGAGGTTACCCAGCTTCACTCACAGAAATGGGGTGCAGGCATCAGGCTGCAGGAGGCAGGCTCCGCTGTGGGGTGGGGCCCCAGAGCTGAAGCCAAAGGTCTGGGTTCCAGTCCCAGCTCTGCCTCTTCATAGTTGGCGACTTTGGCGAGATGATTGAGCCTCGGCAGTTTCCGCATTGGAGAAGAGGGTGAGAAGACCTCGGGTTGAAAGAGTCTGTTAACGTGTTTTGACAGGTTTCACGAGTCCCACATGTACAAGCAGGTTATGTTTGCCCACCCCCAACACACGGAACCCACAAACAGCCCTCTGCTTCTCCTCCCCTTCCTGAACACCTGCCTGTTGTCTCCTTCCATCCCTCCCCTGCCTCTGCCATTAGTCTGAAAAGTGAGTAAAGGCTGCCCCCTGCTGCCTGGACTGAGTATGGCCCCAGCCAGCTTCTGCACCTCTGATCTGTCTCCTTTGTGCTGGGATCGCTGACCAGGTGGCAAAACTAGGGCACAGGTCCCGGGATTCAAAGCGGCTGCAATGCCTCTGCAGAGCTGTATTCGTGTGTCAGAGCAATCCAGTCGGGACGAGGGTCAGGCTTCTACACACCATCCGGCCTCTGGTAGACCACCAAAGGAAAGTTTCACTCAGAGGATAGACTATTGGTAGGGAAAGCGGGTGAACAAAACAGAGGCACCCAGTGGCCGTGGGTTTAGCTCATGGGACAACGTTATGTTCTGTGTCACTGTTAATAAGTTGAACACACAGAACGTCCGGTTTTTCTTCTTGTTCCCTAAGCCCTGAGAGCCCTTCCCTCACACCGAGCTTAGGGCCCCTCTACCCATTGCTCGGACATCCCGGGCGCATCAAGCTGTTTGCTTTTCTATCCAGTCGCCAGGCAGTGAGCTCCAGGCTAGCTCGGCGACAGGAACACTCGGGGGCATTTTATGTTTGCTCAGTTTTGCTTTTGTTTGTAACACAAATTAACAGATCCAGTTCTTGACATTTTGCTTCAAAAGACCATAGGGACAACTCTGAAATTTGCGTTTTTAACAAGCTTCTATGTAACCTGAGACCCACTGAGCAAATCCAGGGACCTTGAACAGCTTCTTCAAGGAGCTCTGGTGGACCTGTGGTTAAAGCATTGGGCTGCTAACCAAAAGATCAGCAGTTCAAGCCCACCAGCTCTTCTATGCCAGGAAGATGAGGCAGTTGGCTTCCTAAAGATGGTATCCTTGGAAACACTGTGGTGCAGTTCCACTCTGTCCTCTAGGGG